CCCACACCCCCCCTTTAAAAAAATCGTTTGTTCCCCCCCCACACCCCCGCCTCGATCACAACAAGGGCCTGCCGTTGTCTCCCTCGCAGCCCGGCTCCCTTTCCCCACAAACGGGTTCTGGCCATGGGCCCCCCACACCTTGGGGGTTGTGTTTGGCGACCACCAGCCAGGAACCTCAGGGGATTGGGGGGGGGCAGTCACAGCACCCCTCCCTCCAGGCTCCCCACCTGGCCCATTGCTTTGCCCCGTTGCATCGCGCTCTGCTTGGGATGCTCCCTCCCCATGCTCCATTACCGCGGCAGCTCAGACAGCCGGCCCTGCTAATGCGCCCGCCTTGCAATATTGATTAGATTAGCTGTCTGAGAGGCTGCCAGGGAGGGAGATTGGCCATCAGCTGAAATAAGCAGAGACTTTTCGATTGGCCCCCGAGGTATTGCCGCTAGACGGGGGACTGCCAGCGGCATCGCTTAGCGTCCGCGGGATGAGCTCTGAGACGTGGCTTTGATGATTATTGTTATGGGACTTGGCATTAATGGTTCTGCTTCCCGGGAGCCATGAGGCCCCGGCCCCGGCTTCCTCGCCCAGCGCTGTCAGCAGCACTTGGCATCAAACAAGCCCCCTGAAGTGCAGGCACCTGGCAGGGGGCGGGGAGAGGTCTTCACCTCCATCCGAGGTTCCCACTCATTTTTTTCCTTATCTGTGTGTAGAATAAATTTTCTTCTGTGCACCAAGGCATGGGCAGATGTGCACCACCAGTGGAAACACAGGCGGCCGGCGGTGGGCGCCCTGCTCATCAGCTGGGCGGGATTGCAGTCTCTCCTGGGCGGAAGGAATTCCCCCCAGCTCAGATTGGCAGGACTCTTGGTAGGGCTGGTGCTGGCACCAGCTGTAAGTAGGGAGGATAAGGCAGGTGCTGAAGTGTTAGACCCTGCTGGAGCCTGGGCCCTGGGTAATGGCGTCCCTGTGATTTGGCCGCACCAAGGCCTGCTGGTGCGTCAGGAGTGTCCTAGCGACCTGGAGTTAGACTCTAACGTACCGAGCTAAGAATCGGATCGGTTCCGGTCTGCGCTCACCACCGCCCGTCTTTGCCCAGGTCGCACGGGCCAGACGCGAAGGAAGTGTTAGACCCTGCTGGAGCCTGGGCCCTGGGTAATGGCGTCCCTGTGATTTGGCCGCACCAAGGCCTGCTGGTGCGTCAGGAGTGTCCTAGCGACCTGGAGTTAGACTCTAACGTACCGAGCTAAGAATCGGATCGGTTCCGGTCTGCGCTCACCACCGCCCGTCTTTGCCCAGGTCGCACGGGCCAGACGCGAAGATCCTGGATAACGGGAACGGCCACACGTTTGGGCAGCTGACCCTGAGCCAGATGCTGCAAATCGCCACGCAGATCGCCTCTGGCATGGTCTACCTGGCCTCGCTGCACTTCGTCCACCGCGACCTGGCCACGCGCAACTGCCTGGTGGGCCACCACCTGGTGGTGAAGATCGGGGACTTCGGCATGTCCCGCGACATCTACAGCACGGATTACTACCGGGTGAGCGCCCGCACGGGGAGGAGGGCAAGGGGCCCGATTCCGCCACCCACGCCTGCCCAGGGCCCAATCCACTGCCTGGGGGAGTCCATCAGGACCTTTCCGGCAGTGCCAGTGGGCCCGGGTGCAGGACGAGTGGGTGATACTGGTCGGGACCACCACGGTGCTCTCAAAGAACTGAAGATGGAAGGTGTTCTCCTTCCTGGATTAGGGCTGCTTTGGCCCTGAGACTCCAAACTCCTACCCCCCTCGCAGCCTACCGGCACCTCCCCTCCCCACGCCCCCCGGTGCCTGTCTCTCTTCCAATTGGGCCCCGTTGGGTTTGGGCTGGACTCAGGCCTTAATATTGGGGAGAAAATGCAAGTTGCCTCATAACCCTTTGTCAATATTTGTCTCTTCCCCCCCCCCCCCCGACCTGACAGTTAGAGGATAACAGCCAACTACTGCTGCCAGCTAGTGGTGATGAGGACCTGGTACATAGAGGGGCGGGGATGTTTTCCAACTTTTTTTCTCGTGACCCAGTTGAAGAAAATCGTTGCTGCCGTGACTCAGCAGGGTGGGGCTGAGGATGGGAGCTTTGGGCTAAACGAGGGGGGCTCTGGCTTTGGGCGGGGTCAGGGCTGGGGCAGGAGGGGCTTCCCTTGAGCAGCTCCCGGTCAGTGATGCAGCAGGGGGGCTAAGGCCGCTTCCTGCCTCTCCTGGCACCGCAGACCATGCTGCCCCCAGAAGCAGTCGGTTCCTAGCCAATGGGAGTGCAGAACTAGTGCTCGGGGCAGGGGCACTGAGTGGAGCCCTGTGCACTCCCCTTCCCCCCACCCCTAGGAGCCACTGCTTCTGGGGTGCAGCGCAGTCTGCAGTGCCAGGACAGGCAGGAAGCCAACTGCTCACCTGATCCCCCAGCAGAAAACGAGACGCACCGCCCAAAAGGGGGTTGCGATCCGTTGTTCGAAAACCACTGGTATAGAGGATAACAGCCTACAATTACTACCAGCTAATGAAGTTCAGTGGCTGGGCCATATAAGGAGAATAGCCTACTACTGCTGCCCAGCTCACTCCGGTAGAAATGTATGCTTTGGAAGAACCCTGTTGGGGATCCCATTGGCAAATTACTTGCCCCCCATTTCCCAGGCACCCCTCTGCCCAGGTCCCCGAGGCTGCATTCAGTGTCGGGGGAGGGCTTTCTCCTCCTTTGCTTCATTAACTAGAGACGACGTTTCCCGGGACTGCCCGGAGTAACCAATGCAATAGAAGAGTGAGGCTTCTCCGGGCAAATGCATCGCAAGCCGCATCCCCAGCTGGCCGGAGGGTTCTGCTGGCTGCAGAGACCCATCCATCTCCATTTCCTCGAAGGCTCTGCTGGGATCGGCTTCTGTGGCAGGCTGGGGGCTGCCAGGGGCCTCTTCCAATTTTCCCTTTTAGCTCCTGCCCCACCTCAGCCCTGATGCATATTTAATGGGGCCTGCAATGGAAAGGGAGCGCAGACCACTTAGCGAGAGGAAAGGCAGCACTGCCAGGAGCCAGAGAGGGGCCCCCATCACGGGCTTCTGTGGAAGGGTTAATAAAAGGGGAGGGGAGAGAGGTGATCCGGGAGGAGCAAGGAGCATCTTTCTGACTCCGTTCTGCTGGTGTAAATCAGGAGTAACTCCAGCAGAGACAGTGGAGTGACTCTGGTGTCAAACTAGTGGGAACAAACCGGGAAATCCAGCCCCGCCCCTTTCGACTGGCTCCTCTTATTTTCATTCCATCCTGTTCTTTCCTTCTGTGCCACGCTTTGTCATGCTTCCTGTTCGAGGCCAGCAGGATGAAGTTTAATAAGGACAAATGCAAAGTCCTCCGCGTAGGAAGGAACAGGGAAGGACAGAATGGGAAGTGACTGTCTAGGAAGGAGTCCTGCAGAAAGGGATCTAGGGGTCAGAGTGGACAAGTTAAACATGAGTCAACAGTGTCCTTCAGTTGTTTAGCCCTGCAAGGTATTCAGCTGTTGATATGTAAATACGGCTCATACTAGAATGTAAATCCAGTTCAGTTAGTGCTATAGGCCTGACGGGGAGTACTAGGGTCAATTGTTAGTTACAATGCACAAAATTCCATTCTAATTTGGCTGTTGAGGGGTCACAGGCCATGTTGACCCTAGATATAGGAGTTGTAAAATGTGACCGCCGGTACTTGTAGGTGGGACACTACATGGCTACGTCTACACTGGCAGCTTCTTGCGCAAGAACAGCTGTTCTTGCGCAAAAACTTGCCGGGTGTCTACACTGCATGTGTGGTATTGTGCAAGTAGATTTATAGTACAGCATCAGAAAACAGGGCTTCTTCCGGAAGAGTTATTCCTCTCCCCATGAGGAATAAGCCCTCTTGCGCAAGAGCGCTTGCACAAGAGGGCAGTGTAGACAGGCAACATGAATTTCTTGCACAAGAAACCCCTATGGCTAAAATGGGCATCAGAGCTTTCTTGCACAAGAGAGCGTCCACACTGCCATAGATGCTCTTGTGCAAAAGCACATGCCAGTGTAGATGCGCTCTTGTGGAAGACGTTTTGCGCAAGAACTCTTCTGCAAACCAGTTCTTGCGCAAGAAGCTGCTAGTGGAGACGTAGCCCAGGAGTGTTGCGAGCAAGACACGAGAAGTCATTCGTCTGCTCTCCTCTGTACTGATGAGGCCTGAGTTGGAGTCTTGTGTCCAGGTCTGGGTACCACATTTCAAGAAAGATGAGGAGAAACTGGAGAAGGTCCAGAGAAGAGCAACAAGCATGATGAAAGGTCTAGAAAACGTGAGCTACGAGGGAAGACTGAAAGAACTGGGTTTGTTTAATTTGGAAAAGAGAAGATGGAGAGGGGACATGATAGTGGTTTTCAAGTAGGTAAAAGGGTGTTTTAAAGAGGAGTGAGAAAAATTAAGGGGGAGGGATAGCTCAGTGGTTTGCGCATGGGCCTACTAAACCCAGCGTTGAGAGTTCAATCCTTGTGAAGGCTATTTGGGGCAAAAATTCATCAGGGATGGTACTTGGTCCTGCTGTGAAGGCAGGGGACTGGACTCAATGACCTTTCAAGGTCCCTTCCAGTTCTAGGAGATAGGCAATCTCCATTAATTAAAAAAAAATGTTCTCTTTGGCTCTGAGGACAGGACAAGAAGCAAAGGGCTTAAACTGCAGCCAGGGAGGTTTAGGTTGGACACTTGGAAAAATTTCCTGACTGTCAGGGTAGTTAACACTGGAATAAATTGCCCAGGGAGATTGTAGAATCTCCATTACTGGATAAATTTAAAAACAAAAACTGGTCTAGTAACACTTTATAGACAACAAAACATAGATGGGATCATGAGCTTTTGTGGGCACAGCCCACTTCTTCAGATGACCGGAGTATTGAGTTTAGGATACCACCTATTGTTTTGTTAGTCTATAAAGTGCTACCAGACCAGTTTTTGTTTAAGTTTTTCCTGTACAGACTATCTTGGCTACCCTCTGAAACTTTTAAGAGCAGGTTAGACAGACATCTGTCAGGGATGATCAGTGCGTGGTCCTGACGTGAGGGCAGGGGACCGGACTCAATGACCTCTTGAGGTCCCTTCTAATTCTATGATTTCTTCTTTGTTTTTTCTTTTCTTTCTTCTCTTGCTTTCCCTCCTTTTACTCCCTTCCTTCTCATTCTCCTGCTCTTTGTTTCTCCCCGGACTTTTCTTTTGATTTTTAATTTTCTTTCTCTTAAATCTTTTTCTTTCTCCTCTTTGGCTTTTCAAACTCCTTCCTGCTTTCTCTTCTCATTTTTCTCTCTCCCTCTCATTCTTTCTGTGCAATATTCTGGCCCTACCCCATCCCAATGACTAACCCCCTCCTCACCTGGTCTATTGGGCAGGTGGGTGGACGCACCATGCTGCCCATCCGCTGGATGCCACCGGAAAGCATCCTCTACAGGAAGTTCACCGCCGAAAGTGACATCTGGAGCTTTGGGGTGGTTCTCTGGGAGATCTTCACCTACGGGAAGCAGCCCTGGTACCAGCTGTCCAACACAGAGGTGAGGGACGGGGAGCTTGGTGTGTGTGTGTTGCAGCCGCAGGGTTGGGGCTGGGGAGGAGGGTTGGGTCAGGTTCAGGCAGAAGGATCTTTGAGCAACTTGTTTTCAGATGGCCAAGCAGGCCACTGGGGGAAAGGAGATCGGCTGAGAAGGAAGGGAGGGTTGGGAGGAGTGGGGGACTCTATGTGGAAGCCTTTAGGACCCTTTGCTCCTGTGACAGTGCAGCCTAGAGGTTACAGTTGGGAGCAGGGAATGGTGTCCGCAGCTCTGAAAGGGAACCAGTGCTCCCTGTAAGCTGAGCATTTAGCTGAGCATTTAGGTGGCCTCCTAGGAGAGATTCCAATGCTGTCCAGCTGATTAGCAGAGCGGCCACAGCCGGCAGCATGTGTTTCTACTGGTGGTGCACATCGGCACATGCCTCGGTGCACAGCACAAAATTTATTCTGCACATGGATGGAAAAAATTAGAGGGAGCGTTGGAGGGGAGTCTAGGCAGAACATGGGTCCGAGCGTCTGAGTCCCATGTACCATCTGGGGGCCCTGAGCAAGGAGCTGGGAAGCTGGACTCTAGAGTCCTAGCCCCGCATGTGCTTGAGAGTCTCACCCCTGCGTCTGTCAGGGCCGAGAACTCTCCCCTGGTGGGGATCAGTGAGCCCCTGTTGCAGGACCTTCCCACGACACGGTGGCAGCGACGGGCAAAGCAGCCTCTGCCTCTAGCAGGCTCAGCCAGTCCCACTCTCCAGGGAGGCAGGAACGGGTGGGAAGGGGCCAGTCTGGCTGTGGGGCCGAGAGGGGCGATATTTCAGTTCTCCAAAGCGTGAACGATCTGATCCAATTTGCCAGCCGGGGTGAAACCTTATCTGGCCCTAACGAACGCGCGCATGGCCTGAGAGCCTCCTTGCCCGTCTGATGTTCCCCTGCGCGGGGGGGGGGTCCCGCAGAGCAGATTGATGGCTCCTTTCTGCCGAGCCCAGAAAGATTCTGGGAGTGGGGCAGGCCCTGAGGAACCCAGCAGGCAGGGGGGTTATATGGGGTCTGTTGGTTTGTGCTAATGACATCGTTCACACTAGGCTGGCATCTGCTGGCATCAGTCGACAGATTTTCCCCTCCCCCATCAGAACAGAAAAGGGCTGCTTAGCATTGGGCAGGGAGGGGATTTACAGATGGGGAAACTGAGGCACAGAGTGACAAAGGACTCAGCGGCAGAGCGAGGGAAAGGTTCCGGGAGTCCTTACCCCGTCCCCATCCTGTGCCCCCAGCCGTTCCGCGCAGAGAGGGCACACGAGCTGTGCCCTCCGCAAGGGTAGACCTTGCAGGGTTGAAATGCCTGCCAGGGGGAGGCAGCCTAAGGCCTCATCTCCTTCCTCCGTGTCTCCGCAGGCCATCGAGTGCATCACGCAGGGCCGGGAGCTGGAGCGGCCCCGGACCTGCCCCTCGGAGGTGTACACCATCATGCAGGGCTGCTGGCAGCGGGAACCCCAGCAGCGGCAGAACATTAAGGAGATTCACAGCCGGCTCCAAGCCCTGGTCAAGACCCCTCCCATCTACCTGGACGTCCTGGGTTAAGGACAGAGATGGGGAAGGAAACCGGCTCTTCCTTCCGGACGACCCCTCCAGAATCCTCCTCCCATCCCCCCACCTGCCCCTCGCCCCGGGATCCCTCTCCCAGCCTGGGAACAGAGGGCTTCCCCATCTCCGGCCTCTGCAGCTCTTTCCTGGGAGCATCACGTCCGGACCAGGTTCTCCAAGACCCCGCGAACTCACACAGAAGTCGCTCCCGCAGCCTCCCTCCAGCTCGGATGGCAGCTCAGCCTCACCCGCCGCAGACAGACGGATGGATGCAAAAGGGCCAGACGGAGGACGCCTGCCCTGGGTCTCTTCCTGCAGCAGACCCCGCCCTGGCACTGGGACCCTCTTCCTAGGGTTCCCGGACAGCTCAGTGATGAGTTACCCGCTGGCCGAAGGACCGATGCCAGTGGCGGATATGTCGGGGGGTGGATGCTTCGGGGGCCCAGGCCCCAAGGGCAGTGGGAGGGGGAGGGGCGTGCTGTGGCGTGGTGTTTCATGCTATTTAGAGTTCAACGTGCTAGCTCTCTGCTCTAGTGGCTTCTCTGGGGCGGGGGGGGGGGCCACGTCCCAGGGCAGGTGGGTTGTAAGTAACAGGACCTTTGTGGGCCACAGGGCTGGCTGCCAGACCAGCTCTCCAGCCCGGAACAGGTCTGCTCAGGCTGAGGTAACGACACCTTTCTCGGAGCGACGCCCTGCCCTCCTGGGCACTGGTTGCAGCTGCCTGGGATCTAGCCGGCTCCGGGAGGGAGAAGAGCAGCCGTGTGGGCTGGAGCGTGGGCCTGGCACGTTCTTCCTGTCGTGACTTCCCAGCTCTGGTGCCCACACTCCCTAGGGCAGCCTCGACTGAGAAGGCCGCTAGGCCCCGGGTGTGTGTCAGACCCACTGTTGCCCACGGGAGCAGATCCTCCGTGGGTGTAAATCTGCATCGCTCCTGCCGATTTGCACCAACCGAGGGTCTGACCCTGAGACTCTTGAGGTTTTAGCCTTGCTTGGCCGAGCCAGGAAGTCCACCTGGGCAGCTACTAAGGGGAGAGCTACCTGACTCTGGCAGCCCGTCATCCCTCCCGACTCAGCTCTTTGTCCGCCCAGGGCCGCACGGGCCTTGAGACCCAGCTTCTCGCCTTGCCCTTGGCAGGAATCCCGTGCGGAGTTCGTGGGGGACTCCAGTCTCCAGGGTTCTGTGGGGTCGGGTTAAGTTCTCTGCTGGTGGCCGTGGGGGAGTGTGGCAAAGGGGCAGGAAAGGATGGGTCGGTTCTAAGGGCAAGCCCAGGACAAGACCGTGCAGAGGTGGTCGTCTCTCTAAAGACACACCCCAACTCTGCCTCCGGTCAGGGGCTCCAGGCAGCAACTGCTGGGTAGACCCAGACAGAGGCGATCACCATGGTTCCCTGAAATGGTCAGGCCTGCTCCTCCTTCCTCACCCCTGCCGAATCTGGAGTGACACCTCTGAAATTGCTGGGTTTGATTCTCATTTACACGGAGATCCCTTTTGGCTGCTCTGGCAGTGTAACGAGGCATTAACGTTGAGGTAAATTATGATGATCTATTAGTATTGTGATACCACTTAGGCCCCCCAGTCAGGGGTTAGGACCCCGCTGTGCTAGATCTGTGCAGGGAGGTCTTGTCTACACTTGAAAGTTAATTCAGATTAATTCAGGGTGTGAATTTAAAGTGCTGTGGCAATTCCGGGATTGTTCTGGGTGTAGACAAGCTTATCCTAGTTCCACCTGCTTTATGGCCCCTTTCCAGTGTGAAGGGCCTACCCACAGAGTGGCAGCTTAATTAAACTGGTTTAGTTAAGTCGGGCAAACCGCTGTGTGGATGCTTATTCCAGCATGAAGGCAGTTTATTTTGCTTTAGTTTAAACCTGTCCCAAATTAAATTAAAGTGCAATAAACCTAATTTAAACCAAAATG